CTCCGTAGGATACTTTGTAGTGAGACCTGTCTTTCTGCATGTGCATTTTGGAGATGCCCCTACAAGCCCCATAAATTGTTTATTGGTGAATGGAAAAATAAGAATAGATGTAGTAATTTGCACGGTTTTTATTGCACACACATAATGTTATTTCAAATTTTTCAATTGCAATCCGACCTTAGGAATTAGGCGCAACTTCATTGACGTTTCATGCAACTATTTTTATGCCTTTTAGATTCTTGCGCGCATGCATCGTTCTACGCCTCGCTCCTGCATGCTATTTTTTCTCACTTCCCCAACTCCTTCGCTCCATCAGCGACTACTATAATTGTTTTTTGCTTTATCCCGTCGCGCTCTGACTTTCTTCTTGCTTCTGTTGAATTTTGGTTTTGCTCCACCCCGTCTTTTTTAACCTCCTTTTCCGCCTTCATCTACGAAGAGGAACGTCCCACCAACTCCAAGTAATCGTAGACGCCAGATGGCAGCGTGTAAGGAGACCCTAGACTCCTCACTATGCAATCTGATTGGCTATGAAGTACTCGACGTGGATGGACATGGCCTTCTCACGCGTCTTCCCCTTTCTCATCTCCTCCCTCCTCTATCCCTACTCCACATTCTCTTCTCCTATTTTTCGCAAGTATAATCTCGCAAGCGTGTCATTTTTGACTCTCTCACTATACATCGACCAACTATGATGCAGTACTGGCTACATGATATGGTGGTCAGGGAGTCGGAAAGTCCCGACGACTCGGCTGCAACTTTGCGGGATTGCGTGCTGGATTGTTGCGACGGACTGCAGGATCCGGGCGAATCCGCGTAGTGGTTGAGTGGACGGGATAACGTTTGTCGGGTACGTGGCGGCCAGGATCACTAGTGGTAGAGCAAAAAAAAATATGTTGATGATTCGTTAGATTGTCTGCGGCCATAGCTCGAAAGCGATAGGCTTTGCGTCTTGCTTTCATGGTTTTGTCCTTGCTATTTTTGAAGTTAAGTTGCATGGCGAGATACCAGTTTTCCGTCCCGAAACGAGCAAGTGTATATTATCCTCTCCTTTCCCCTTCTCTATGGTGTGTGAGTGAATGAATGATCGCACATGTTTGGTTTGCAATGACAACTTGTGCATGAGTGTGTTTTTGAGTTGCACCCATCGTTTTGCTCTTCCATTGTCAAAATCTCGTCGGGCGAGGATCGTTGAAACGCAAAAGGCAACGAAGGACGTTTAGGTGAAATGATGTTTTTCCTTTGGATCTCATTCACGTCACGTTTGCAGATCAGAATGATGAATGAATGATAGATGAACGCGGTTTTCTTTTGCTTTGACGAAGGTATCCTTCACACTTTCAATCGACGAAGCCATCACAACGCTTTCGCTGATTGCGAATGTGAGGCGCTCCAGTTTAGCAACTTTTTCCTCGCCTTCTGCACATCTCATTTTGAATGAATAAGTCATAATAACCTTAATTGATTGATCAAAGAGTTTTTGAATGATTGCTAGTCCGGAGACTTCTTTTGTAACTCTTCCATTAGTTTTTAGAGTAATCCCCTTCTACGGCGGAACATCAGACGTAAAAGTCATATTGTATTGTCTGATTTCCTCCGTGAAGGCGATGCCCAAAGCTAAAAGGGATTGACTGTCTTATTTTGAGAGCGGTGAATGCTTGTATTTCGGTTATGTGGACCGAGCTAGCATCGGAGAACCAACTTCTAGAATCTCCCCGCCCACAACCTTTCTTGTACAACGAGGATAAGATACGTGTCTGCAAGTGGGACATATGAGAAGCCGTCGCGAAGATCGGTGACCCTTATCACTTTCCTTCCGAAACACGCTGCTCTCGATTTGTCAACGCAGGCTTTGTGATTGAGGATATCCATTTCCCTCTCTACTTCATTTTGCTCTCGTTCAACAAGTTGATCGTTATCTTGTGGCCGACATTTCCTCCCCGGGCCACTGGCCTCGCACTTTGCATACCGATTGCCGCCGCAGAGAGCGCTTTCAAGCCCAAGGGTTCAACTATCGGACATGTGGTGAAGAGGAGTTCAAAGAAAAAGCAGTGAGACTGTGACCCTCCGACTCAGATTCCGAGCTTTGCGAAGAGCGTTGTTCGTCCCTCGTTTGAAACCGAGATCCGGCGTGCGTTCCCCCTCCTTTCCGGCCAGTAAAAAGATGTCGCGCTGCATGCAACAAAGTTCAAAGATATTTTTTAGATTAGATAGTCGTTGGGAAATTACCATCCTCCGCTTTTCCTGCTTTTGTACGTCGCTCCATATCTGGGAGCACACGGGAGATTTCAGTTCTGTCTGTCTCCACACTCAAATTTCCAAAACCCTACACGCCATTTCGCTGCTTTCCAGCCCCTTTCCGCGCTTTAGTCACTCTGACAAGGAAAGCTGAGCAGGGCGTGAGGTTAGAGCGTCACAAGCACGTGAATGCACGCTGGTCTTTGGCCCTCTGCCTGTTGTTGGTCAAAACTAGCAAGGCCTTCGTCGGAGTGGTGAAACACTACATGGGGGCAGATCACATATCGTATTGAGGGCAGACAACTTGAACCACCAGTACTTGGCCCAGCTATGGGCCGCGGGCGTGTCCCGTTAACGCGCCGCATTGGGGGGGGTTCGTTCACATGAACGGCCGATCGGTGAGAATTGCGACGTACAAAGGCAAGAACCAAAAAAAAAACAAAAAACTACTTTTCTAAGTTGGGCGGGGGTCATGGTCACATAGGGTTCTTGGTGGAATGCTTCTAACTACTAGTTAGATTCTGGATGTCGTTTTTTTCTGCTTTTGTTTCTTTTCCTTTTTTCTTAGATTGGCCTGCCAACGAGGCAGGGCATGAACAGCCCTCTTTGAGGATATACTCACAATTGCACACAGACAAATGTATGTAACTAATTTCAGGGCCAAATTCATGTTCCTTTTTTTATTTTCTTCTTTGAGATTCTTTTCTTTGTTTTTTTGTTTTTTTTTCTTTTGTTCTTTTTGGATTCCGACAAAAACGCCAAGGGGCTGACACACCCAAACTGCGACGTGCTCACACTAGCACTCGGGAGAATGCATCCAGCTGCATTCACGTCCCCAGAGTTGTTGTAGTTTTTTTTTTTTTTATGTTTTTTTTTTCCCAAGTGGTCCCCCCCCAACCTCGGCCCGTCCAGCTACTGGTACTGCTTGCTCACCATTATGGTGAGTGCAAAAGTGTGGTGAGTGGATGGAGTGAGAGGTACCTTCCAGTGTGAAAAGCCGAAATCGAGTTTGAAGAGTGGTGGAGCAAGGGTCTAGCGAGTGGTGGCGTACATCTTTAGCTGCATGTGTTTTGCTAGAGAGTTTGCGTTTTAGTGAACCTCTGACATGCACGTGTGGCACACCTCTTGGGTACCCATATGCTACAATGGTGTCAACAGCTCTAATCTGACGTCAGACCCACCCGTTTGAACTGGTGTGGCTCCGTTTTCCACAGTAGGATTTGCTGTGCTCCAGTTTCCAATAGCTGGTTACCCCCCCAGCACAACACACACCCATTGCGACTTTGTGGGCAAAAAGGGATCTTGTACACGTTCACCATTAGGGTGTGTTGTCTCGGGGGGAGGCCTTACCATCCTTTCCTTTTGTTTTCAAGACGGGTGACGTCTTCCCGCCCCCGGAGAAGTGGGCCCACTCCAGCAGTCGGCCGCTGGCCTCAGGTGGCGGGTTCTGCCCCCTCTTTACACCCCTTCCACCGTTAATTAGCTGACAGGAGACTGCACGTGCGGCATTTTGAGAGACACGGAGTCTCGCCACACTACTCCCCAAAGTGGTGTTTTTGGGAGTGCAACTTTGCCACACCAGCTCCCAAGGTCGAATTCAGGAGCTGTCAGAATGTGGCTCCCGAGAGCACTCCTGAACTCACCCCCTGCAAAGCAAGCGGCCTTTTCGAGAGACCTCCTTCGCTCCTCCGACTCGGAGTTGACTTCTGCCAGACTGCTTCACACTGATCGTGTCCACATATGGCAACCAAGGCTTGGATCCCACAGTGCGTTTTTAAGAAAAAGTCGGAAAAGTACCCTGAAAGTTGTGTCCGCGCCAACCGGTTCGTAAGAACGAATTTGGATCCCATAGTCGCGACGGGGAAGGCACTTCTCCACAAATTTTGCCGACATGCACTCCGTCCCAACTTCATCTACGGACATCCAACGGCCAACGACCACGAAACGACAACAGAAAAAAGGGAAAACCCAATTTTGCAGAGGCACCTACTTTCAGGGAAAGGGGGTAGGGGTCGGGAGCTTTTGAAAATTCGTTCACGAAACCAGCCACGACTCTCTCCCGTGCTGCCACGAAGGGAGGCCAGAGAAGAAACAGCCGAATTATTTTCCCTGTCCTCTCACCGCGGAAACCTGTGGGATTTATTTTTTTTCACGAAAGTGCCCCTACGAAGGATTCTGGGATCCAAGCCTAACTGACATTTTCAGACTTGGAGCGCGGCCGGGTCAAGAGTGTATGGACCTCGCCACACCACTCTTGAAACGGGGAAATTTTTCAAGAGCTGTCAGACGTTCTCAAGAGTTGGGTTTTCAAGAGTTCCGGGCCCCTCGCCACACAGCACTCTCGAAAGGGCGATGGTGTTGGACAAACGATGAAAAACGACAGTAGTACAGCTTTGTTTTTTCCGCATGGCGTCAGGATAACGGCCTGACACCTCTCGAAAATCAGGGGCCCTTCGAGTGCCCTCGGGAGGACGCTTGAAAAGAGCGGTGCTGCAGGCTGGGCGTTTCCGAGTTTCGAGTGCTACTCTTGAAACGAGGTTCTGACAACTCTCGAAAGAGTTTCTGGGCTACAACTAAACAAGTGGCTGTGTGGCGACGCGTCCAACTCTTGAAAACGCTGTTTCAAGAGTGGTGTGGCGAGGCCCTATTGTGGCGAAAGGCACTCTCGAGCCGGAGCACTCCCGAAAATTTCCCAAACTGGGGAGTGGTGTGGAGTGACCCAGAGCCGACTGGGGAGCGGTGTGGCGGGCGTGAAGAGCAGTACGCGCACTCCCTGCGCGAGCTTGAGCGCGAGGGTCGCGCGCTGTGCCTGCGGCTTGTGTGCGACAAAACGACACTGCGATGCCACTTCCATGGTGCGACGTGGTGACACGCACGCCCGCGCCCGTCCCCGTCCCCGTCCCCGTCCCCGCCACTCATGGTCTGAGCGTGCATCGCGCAAAGATCCCCCGCCATGGCATCGCGCGCTCTTTCTCGGCCGCGCGCTTTGAACATGATCATGATCGTCCAGGCCGCCGTGCTGCGGGGCGCGGCGCGCTTGCGCGGACGCGAGCTCCGGCGTCGTCGATCATTTCGCGCCTCAATCGGCGGGTGAACCGCGCCCACGCACCAGACCCCAGGTTCCGGCTAGATTCACTCGTAGCAATGCGCATGCATTCTGTCCGAGGGGAGAAGGTATTGCCTGAGGCGGGCTCCAATCCTTCGGGCTGCTCTTGCCCTGTTCAACGGACGAGTTTGGCAGATCGGGACAGGGCCGAGGGAGTGCGTCCGCAGCGGCATTGGCGTATTCGAAGAAGGCCGGTGATCGAGATCGCGATCGGCGTGCGCCCGAGGCGGCGTCGATGCATCCGCGGAAGGGTAGGTCTCGCGACCGCCGTCAGCCGGAGCGGAAAACGAACGTCATATGATGACGCTCCCCTAAGGCTGGTTCGTGGAAGGAGCCTGGAAAAGAGAGGGAAGCTACCGGTAGGCAGGCATGGTGGAGTAGGGAAGCTACGGGTAGGTGGGTCGAGAGAGGGTGTGCGTGTCCGCGCGGGCTTAGATGACGTCGTTGGGGGCTTGTCGGGATCGGAGCCGAGTTGGGAGGTCGCTGTCGGGGCGGTTGCTGGCGTTGTCCCGTTCGTGATTGCTGCAGTCGAATTCGGGAAGCGGATCGCAGCTCAGAGGCGCTGCCACGTGTGCGGCGGGTCGGGATTAGTTCTCAAGGGACGGTACTATAGAAAGTGTGGAGCATGTGGAGGTTTCCTGCCTTGGCTGTCGTGGAAACGGTTCTTCTCCGGTTAAGCTCCCGCGCTCACAGTAGGAAGTGACTGAATGCATCAGGCGGGAATCGCGCCCAGATTCCGTCGTTCGTTTGCGGTAATTGATTGGTCAACGTGACAGATAAAGAGGGATGGTCATCGGGTTTGCAGATCGAGGGAGGCGAACGAGCGAATCGAGAAGGGAACCACTTTGCGGGAAGAAAAGGGCGGACGGGGGACCGGCCGGGGGGGAGCACGATGACGAAGGGAAACTGGGAGGTGGTAGTGAAAACCAAGAAGGAAAGAAAATCGGAAACACAAGTAGTACACGTGTGTATGTGCTTTTTATGCGCTCGTTTCGTGGGTTTCAATCGATGGGTAAACGGGAAGTTATAGGGGTGGTTTAGTGCGGAAAACGAGAGGGAGGAAAACGAACGGAGAATCAAACCGTTGGGCGGGAAGGGAGAGGGAGGAAGGGAGAGGAAGGGGAAGGACAAAGGAAAAGACAGATAAAGGACAAAGGAAAAGACAGATAAAGGACAAAGGAAAAGACAGATAACTTGGAGCGCAGTTATGGTATTCATTTATGTATATATGCTCGTGAGTGAGCTAGATGTGAAGCCGCTTTATGGAGGCGAAAAGTAAGAAGTGACAGTCCAGTAAGCTATGCAAGAGAAAGACACAGATCACTGCTGATCTACTATTGTCTGTGACTCTGTGTGTGTGTGTGTGTGAGAGAGAGAGAG